TCAGTGCTAGATAACACAGCCACACGAGCGACGGTCAGACACAATGAGCCAAAGCCACTCAGGCAGACATGAAAGCCGGATGCAGCACACAGGATCAGTAACACAGCGGAAAAAGCTCCACAAACAACAAACCGCTTGCCCGCTGGAAGTCTCCCCTCCTTCCCACTTCGTGTTTCTGAAGCTCATGGTACGCATGTGCTATTTTTACACCAGGGAGAAAAAAAAATGCAAAAACCTAAAACATTGCAAAGTATATTCCTATTCCAGGGACCCAGGGGCCCTCACGGCTCACCTGGCGTCCCTGACGATGACAGAACCTTGGGTGGGCAGCAACAGACACGGTGGACCCTCGTCGCTCTCGGGCTCTGGGGTAGACGGCCTTTCCTGCTGCACGCCTGCCCGATGCTGTCCTGCACAGCACAGCGAGTCCTCGTGCTGGCTGCGGAGTAGCTTCTAGCACCACCCCTCTCCTGAAGCCACAGCAGCCAGAGCTTAGAGAGGCTAAGGCCCCTGGCTGAGGTCACACAGCTTGGGAGCATGGAGCCTAGAGTCCCGCCCGGGAGCGTGTGAGGCTGCACCCCTCAAAGATGCAGAAAGGGGGTGGACACCTGCTGGGAGACGCTGGGTCCTGGGCCAGCTCCTGCACAGCGAGAGAAAGGCAGCAGGACCCGCACGGCACTTACCTCTCTCCTCAGGTCAGCAGCACAGGTCACCTGTCCGCCCTCCCTCTCCCTTCTCAGAACCTGCTCTTTCCTGGCTTTGTTTTCCCCGTTTTTTCTCTTGAACTCATCACTCAGTGAACAAGTTAGCTTTCTGAAGCCTGGGTCGGTACCTAGTGCCTCGATGAGCGCCGATAAAGAAATCAGCCGTCAAACCACCACGGAAGTCAGTGAGGTTTAAATCACATCATCCCGCACAACAATGACATTAATTATGCTTTTAACACGTTTTACTGCTTTTTTTTTTCTCACTTCACGCCACATCTGTGTGAACAATATCCAAAAGATTTACGGGTTTCTGTCGTAATTACAGACATGCAGGCTGCACACTTATCAAAATACTTGCTGAGCAATCACGCCGCGGCGCGCTGGCTGCCAAGGATCCGGGCTGGCAGAAGTCACTCCAACAGAAATGTTGAATCAGGACTTGTGTGGCTTTGCAGGGCTGGGGTGGGGGGAGCCCGTCGGGAGGCAGCCACACAAAGCCCGCGCTCTGCCTTATTCTGGGGAGGGGCTGGGGCGGCGGCGCGGCGAGCGGGGATGCTCGAAGCGCCAACAATACATCTGACATTTGGTTCTTGTGTCTGAGGATAAAATTTAATGAGAACAAAAATATGTCTTCCTAATTCCCCTAAGAAATCATTAAAACATTTTGTTATTCTTAAATGTCTTGAAAATGAATTAGAGCCCCTAAAGGGGCTGTTGGGCTGCTGCGGCTCCATCCGTTACAGCTCCTGGTTCTCTAACTCGGCGACAGCTGGGGACAGCCCCCCTTCGTGCTCCCGCCCCTCTGTTTCTGGGGTGTGAGAGGCCTGGAATCAGCACCAGGAGGGGGAGACCTTCCTGTTCCTGGGGTTTGGGGAGCCGGACTGGAACCCTCTAGAACTTGTGGTACTAACTGCAGGCTCTCATAGCCAGGGCTCTGACAGTTCCAATAGTCCTGTCTCTGGAAGGACAGGGCTAGTGAACCCCTCTCCCATCGCCCCCTGCCTGTCTGCCCCCACAGGTGCTCCCTAGCCATGGTCTGAGTGATGCTGTGGTCACTTCTGTTGTCAGAACACATGTTGCAAAGGGCACGGCCCTGCGTCTGGGTTCCTGGCCATGTTCCCGGTGTCTAGCAAGAGCCAGGCACACAGTGAGTGCTCAATACATGCTGAGTAAATAAACATGTGATTATAGATACCTATGGTCAAAAAAGCACCTCTTTGCACAGTTTTTTTTTTTCTCTTGCTGTTGAATCTTATTTCTGATGCAATTATTACCTGCCTACTGTCTCCGTGTGTACAGTTCTAGTCAGTCAGTTCCACGTCTCATATCTCCTAGGGGAGTCCAACAGTGATGACAGTAGCCAACAGTAAACACCTACTGTGTACTTTAAACCTCCTACAATCAGGAGAAGCAGGTGCGAATACTAGCCTCAATTTATGGAAGAAGTGAATGAATTAGTCTGTCATCTAAACTTGGGCCTAGCAATGAACTTGAAAGCACACATTTATCTCAGGGCTACTCTGGTGCTACAGGAAGGGAACTCCGGGGCTCCACAGAGCAGCCAGGTACGGGGGTCCCGGGAGGGAACCCTCCAACGTCACTTGTCTCTGAGACCATGAAACCTGAAGGATTAGGACAGCTGGGAGGGAGTGCTGAGCCACGACTCAGAGCCTACTGCCGACCAGGAGCCTACAGCCCTCGTACGGATGCTTTAGTTGAGGGCTGCTACTCCACTTGCTTTTCTCTCTTTCTCTCTTTCTCTCTTTCTTTCTTTCTTTCTTTCTTTCTTTCTTTCTTTCTTTCTTTCTTTCTTTCTTTCTTTCTTTCTTTCTTTCTTTCTTTCTTTCTTTCTTTCTTTCTCTCTCTCTCTCTCTCTCTCTCTTTCTTTCCTCTCTTTCTTTCAAGATTTATTTACTTTTATTGGAACATCACATTTACAGAGAAAAGGACACACAAACATCTTCCATCTGCTGGTTCACTCCCAAGTGGCTGCAATGGCCAAAACTGAGCGATCCAAAGCCAGGATCTTCTGGGTCCCCCATGAGAGTGCAGGGTCTCAAGGCTTTGGGCTGTCCTCCATTGCTTTCCCAGGCCACAAGCAGGGAGCTGGATGGGAAGTGGAGCTGCCACCCATATGGAATCCTGGCGCATGCAAGTGAGGACTTTAGCCACTAGGCTACTGCGCCAGGCCCCTGCCACTCTTCTTTCAATCTAGCTTCCTGCTAATGTGCCTGGGGAGGCAGAGGGACGTGGAGAATGTGCTTGATCCTCATGAGGACCCCGATGGAGTTCCAGCTCCTGGTTTCAACCTGGCTCTGTTCCGGCTGTTGCGACCATCTGGGAAGTGAACCAGTGAATGGTGGATCTCTCTTTGTCACTCTGCTTTCCAAATCAGTCTTAAGAGTGGGAAATAAGACAGTGCATTTTTCCAGGTTTTTCCCAGGCTTCACTGATGACAGTTTTAAGAAATTGCGGGGGGCCTGGCAAGGTAGTGTAGTGCCTAGAGTCCTCTCCTTGCATGCGCAGGGATCCTATATGGGCGCCAGTTCTAACCCTGGCAGCCCTGTTTCCCATCCAGCTCCCTACTTGTGGCCTGGGAAAGCAGTCAAGGACAGCCCAAAGCCTTGGGACCCTGTACCCATGTGGGAGACCCAGAATAGGCTCCAGGTTCCTGGCTTTGGGTCAGCTCAGCTCTGGCCGTTGTGGCCGGCTGGGGAGTGAGCCATTGGACGGAAGATCTTCCTCTCTGTCTCTCCTTCTCTCTATAGATCTAACTTTCCAATAACAACAACAACAAAATAAAAACCAACAAAATAAAACAAACAAAACACACTGCAGGAAAGTGCCACTCAGTGAGGGTGACAATGACACTATGGGCATAGGCCTATCTGTACCTCGAGGCCCAGGTCATGGTCCTTGTCGGAAACACACAACTTGTGGGAGTGTGTCACCTGGATCCTGCCATCTCTGGGAAAAGCCACGTGGCCACATGTGTAGACTGAGGGCCACCCTCCCAGACACTCCAGTCTGAACCTGCAAGTGTCACTTCCTGTGATGGGTTCTGCAAGGCAGGGTTATGGTCTCAAGGTGAGACACCCCCTGGCTCCTGCAGGCAGGTCCCAAGCCTAGCAACAGGGGGCCGGCAGCTCTGTGAGAGAACACATGCTGAGGTCCAGGCTGTTCCCATGTGTGGCCCTGGGGGACAGGAGCAAGCCTGTGTCTGTCCTTGTCTCTGCTTCTGAGGACACTGGATCCTGGCTTCAGGGTCCACCCTTCTCCAGGACAATCACCTCTGGAGATGGCTTGTTAATTCCATCTGCGGAGACCCTACTTTCAAAAATGTCATGCCTCATGCTGCCGTGTGGACGTGACTTCTGGGAGCCACACTCCACTGGCCACTGTAGCCCATTTAAGCAGCTCTAGGCAGGCAGAGTTATAAACATCTCTGATCTCCACAGCTCAGATGGGACCTCGTTTTCCTTCTCATACGCCCCTGATCCCAACAGCCCGGCAGGCACCGATTCCCATAGCTTTAAGCCAGGACTTGGGGGATGTCTGGTAGAGGGTGTTGGCACAGGGTCCCTCTGCCCTGTCCCACCACTGGGCTCCTATTGCTGGCCATTGAGAAGGTGGCATGGGATGGATGACTTCTAAAACACAACCGTTTATAGGCAAATGGCACAGCCATGCCAGGTGCCAGGTGTGCCAGTGAGTGCTCACATACTCAGCACACTCACTCAGGCTCTGGTGTCCTTTGGAGCTCCTGCCTGCTACAAGGCGAGTCTCCATGACCTCCAACAGCACAAGTTAAATTTATTATTATCGTTTTTAAATTCACCTAATAGGAAATCCACCAGTGTCCAGGGATAACGAGGTGAGCACATGCATGTGCTTTGTCACCACCATCGCTCCTTGCTAGCATGTTTCATCTCCCTGTGAGGGTACCCTGCACCTTCCCACCAAGCCCCTGGTCACCTTCCTCCCTCTGCCCATGCACCCGCCTGGCCTGGACACTTTATAGACACAGATCACACACAATGTGGCCTTTCCAATTGGTATCTGTCACTCAGTGTCATGTTTTCAAGGTTATGCCAGAACACTACACCTTTTCCATAGCTGAATAATATTCCACCACAGGAAAGGCCGCCCATGGCTCAGCCACTGCCCTGTGGAAGAACACAGGGGCTGTTCCCGCTGTGTGGGTAGTGGACCACAAGGGGCCTCCTGTGAAACAGGCCTCAAGGCCCTTTCTTGGCATGAACGATTCAGGCTGAGAGCCCACATGTGTCTTACCTGGTGCTTCAATCAACTGCTTGTAAACACTCAGAAAAGCGGCCTCCGCCTCTTGACTTCTCTTACTAAGGGCCACCACCTTTGGAGACAAGAGAGTCACATGTCACCATGGCATCGAGTTTGCAAGCAAGCACGATCATTTCCTCCTGTACAAAGGGGCTGGGAATGAGGGCCCAAAGTGTGAGCACTGGAGGCTGTGTTGTTGCGGCAGAGTTAAGCCACCACTCACGACGTCCATATCCCACATCGGAGTGCCCAGTTTGAGTCCCGGCTGCTCCGCTTCCAGTCCAGCTTCCTGCAAATGTACCTGGGGAGGTGATAGCTCAATGGCTGGGGTGGGGGTATCCTTGCTACTCCAGTGGGAAAACAGAATGGAGTTTCTGGTTCCTGGTATTGGATCAGCCCAACCCTGGCAGGGTAGCCATTTGGGAGTGAATGAACCAGTAGTTGGAAGAATTTTGTCACTCTGCCTTTCAAACAAATGGATTTTTTTTTTTTTTAAGTCTAAGCTTTGGAGTTAGGACAGCTGGGAGCCAGCTCCACTGTGTGGGCTATATGACCTCAGCAAGTCACTGCCTCACCTCAACCCTCAGTTTCCTCATGTGTGGGAGGGGCCTGGAGTGGGTAGTGAGCGGAGCTGTACTGAAGCACTGACCATGGGGCCAGGTACACAGCTTCTGTCACCACCGCAGTGTCCTCTTGATATCGGGGGGCATTGCTGAAAGCTCGGGGTTCGGGCAAGAGGGACACACCCTGGGAGTGACAGCCTGGGAGGTGCACTGCCTGGTCTCAGACGTCAGCTCGTCCACTCTGCCACGTGTCCTTGTGCAGGGAGGTGCCAGCAATCCCTGTGCCTCTATCTCTCCACTGGCAGAACAGGTAAGTCTGCAGGTGCCTGGCCGAGCTCCTGGCACGCACCAGGCCTGTGCAGCCTGCCTGCTTCCACTGTGCTTGTCTCAGGTGGCTTACGAAGAGCACCTGGGCCAGGTCCCGCTACGTTACCTACATCCGTGTATGCTGGGAGCAAGGAGTTGGTGTCCATGGCGCCCCAACAGTGGCCACGAGCCATGGCCATGAGCTAAGCACCGGGCAGGTGGCAGGCCCAAACCAAGATGCACCATGAGAGCCAGATGTGCTTAGGAAAAATACTGATGATGCCATTAAGTGAGCAAACATAGTTGCTTTTGCCATTTTAAAATGGGGTTACAAGAAAATGTGAAACCAGAGTTACAAGTCACAGAGAACCAGACACATTGGCGAGGTGGAGGGCAGTGTGCGATGCGTGCTCAACAAGGGGTTAAGGGAAGTTCCCCAGCTGCTCACTCCCTCAGCAAATGTCTCCTGAGCGGGTGCTCTGTGCTCAGCACTGTGTGATGGACACTGTGTTCCCCATGCGTGGATGGAGGCTCCAGGGAGATCAGCACCGAGCCAGGGTCCCAGAGGATTCATTTATCACAAGTGCTAACCACTTGGAAGGAAAAGTAGCGGTCCCTGAGAGGACCCTGGGGAGTAGGGGCTGACCTAGTTAGGTGGGACCCACATTAGCAATCATTTCCCTGAGTAGGGGAAGATGGCGGGATGGGATGAGGGTGGGGTAGAGAATATTCTAGAATCCAAGCAAAGGAAAAACTTGCCCCAAATTTTATTTTTGTTGAGGTAGACAAGATATAGCTCCCCTGGGGGCCTTCCTGTGGATTGGGAGACACAGCCACGCCCTAGACAGCTGGGACCCACGAGAAGGTGCACACATCCCTGGAAGAGGCCTCTGTGGCAGGAGGTATGCAGCAAGAGGGGGTGAAGAGGCAGAGGCATGGTGGTAAGAGGCTTTTCTCCCTGCGAAGGGCGAGCAGCTACAGGAGGCCCCTGATCGGCAGGCTCTGACAAGGGCCCCCTGGCTGCAGGGTGGGGACCAGGCTCAGAGGGGCCTGGGTGGAGCAGCAAGAAGTGGCCACCGATGGGGAGAGGATTTGGATTCGAATGGGTTTGGGAGGTGGAATCCAGGACCTGCTGCAGGGGCACACAGCGGGGACGGGGACTAGAGAGGTGCAAAGATGACTTCTGAGGCTTGGGCCTCGGTCACTGACCGAACTCCATCAGCCAGGGCTGTGCTACCCGCCTTCTTTGGAGCAGGCTGTGGAGCACCATCAAAGGAAAGAGCTGGAAGACTGAAGGAAGGGGCCAAGGCGATTCTGGGGCTGATCCTTCCCAACTGCAAACCACCCCAGAGCTCGGAGGGAGGTGAGGCAGGGACAGTAGACAACAATCTCCATTGAGCTCTGGGGAGTTCCTGGTGGGGAGGGGACCACCCTGAAGTGGAGCCGACAGGAAGTGGGAAGGAGGTGGGCTGCCTGCAGCTGGAGGCCTGAGGACAGTCACCGCCCTCGCTAGCCTCGGGTTCCCAGGGTGCTTGTCCATAGCTCCTTCCCGCGGAAATGTGTATTCATTCTACTCTACCCAGGCATACCAGCCAGCCAACTGGCAAGCCTTCTCTGGTACACAGGGCCCTCTGCATAGGCCAGGTCATGCCTAGGCTCTGCAAGGCCAGAACGCCTAGAGGTGGGAAAGAGGGACAGATGCACCTGTGTTCTAACATTGGAAATCACACCCAGGCTCAAAACAGGGCTCACAACGTGGGCTGGAACACGGTCCTGCCGTCAGCCCCGCCGCGAGCTGAGTCGGCACTCAGGGCTGGCTGCCTCCAGGGGCTCGGGAGTGGTACAGAAATGTGGTGCCCCGCACGCCGAGGCTGGCAGGCTTGCTATTAGCGGCAGTGTAATCATCAATTATGTCCAATCACAAACTACCAGCTTCATAATTACCAAGTGAAGCACCAGCTTCTCACCTCTGCGCAGCGGCAGCGAACACAGCCCCTCAGCTCCAAGGGGCCCTTTCTTTCTCTTTTCTTCCCTTTTCCTCCTATTCCTGCTCTCTTGTGGGGGGGAAGAATTTTTCCAGGCCGCCACGAAAGACTGCATTTAAATTGCTTGTCACTCAAAACAAAGGCGCCCCGCTCATTTGTAATTCGCCAGCCACCTGAGCAGGCCGCCTGTTTTCCTCTAAGCATCCACGCGCCAAAGCACAAAGATCATTTTTCTATTGTTAAAATTGTATAAGCCAAGGCTTTTTTTAGCAGTGAATACACAATTTCACTTCTCTTCTGAGGGCCCCCAGCATAAAAGGGACAGAAGGCTTTCTTTAGTGCCTTACAAACACATTTTGCTTTGGGGTAATAGAAAAAAAATAATAAAAACACCACCCCAGCACCGGGCACATACAATGAGCTAAAAAGCTATCAGTGATTGCACAAGGTCCTGCCTGTGGACAAGCGAGGGTGGGACAGAAGGGGGCTGTGCCGCCTGGCCCTGGATGTGGCCAGCAGAGATGCTGCAACACGGACATCCGCAAAGCGGGAGGCAGGGTGTCGTAAGCTGCCACAACCATTGCCACTGCTCTGTGCTGACTGGTGTGTGGTCTGAGACCACGTGAGCAAAGTTCCCAGGGGCCGAGGCCTCAGGTGTGACCGTTGTCCCAGCCAGAGGTGGGCCTTGCTGTGTCCAGCTTTCTGCTTCCCTCGTCCCTGAGACTAGCTCTGGACAAAGACCATGGAGCCCCCTGGCAACCGAGGTGGCCTTCCTGTGCTTGGCCTCTGAGGGCCAGCCTCTCATTGACAGCTTGGCATTCCTGCATAGCTGGCCACAGGATAGCTGCCTTCCGTATTCCGTTGAGAGCATCTCAGGGCTTACAAGGGCCTCTTAAGGGGACCAGGGCATCTGAGCTACTGGCTCTTGCATGGGTGGTGGCATAGAGGAGGGCGCTTGCTTTAGAGGCCCAGAGAGGCTGAGATGGTGGCTCCAGGTCACACAGGAGAGGCAGGGGCGTAAAGGGAAAGGGAGGGTATCTGTGGCTGGAATTTGGCCACCCACAGTGGCCAAGGTGAGGTCACTTCAGGGTAAGTTAGCACTTACTCAAGTCCACCCCTGAAATGGCCCTGGTTCCCCGTTAGGTGCTGTGCTATCCAGGGCAGAGCAGGGAGGTGGACTCTGGTCTGCCTCTGTGAGGAGCTCAGAAACTACAGTGGCTTTTTCAGTGGCAGCAGCGGCCACCGTGCTGGCTGTGAGACTGACAAAGGTCCCTCATGGCAGCAAAGTCCTTCCAGATGCAACCGTGAGCAACAGGGCCAGATGCTGCACATTCATCAAAACCCACAGGCCCGTGTGAGGCAGAGACTGGGCCCTCATGTACCAACGGATTTTAGTTATCAAATTGCATTGCTATTGGCTTGTCAAACCAGTCAGAAATGCATCATTCTAAGGCAACTGGCTACTGACAGAGGAAGCGGGATGGGTTGCAGGAGAGGCACTGTATGGAGACTCTACACCTTTGGCTCTAATTCCTCCTGAATATAAACTGCTCCAAAAAACAAAACAAACAAACAAAAAAAGCAGGGGTGTTTCTGTTAACACACACATACACACTCCTGTCTGTATATCCGTATATACAGACAGGGACAGGAGTGACCTCTTTGAAAGCCCTGATCAGGTACTGGGCACTCTGGGAATGCTTACCCTGCAGAACCCCATCTGAAATCTGTGTTGCCTTTTCCATCAGCCAAGGGAAGGTGAGACTTGAGGTTTACAGCCACACAGTGAGCGCCAGGGCAAGGACTCCCAGCCTGCATTCCAGAGCCAAAGGATCAGGTTCTCGCCAGAGCAGCCCCCACATACCAAAGACCCTGGCAGGTGAGACGGTGCATGAACATGATGAGCATGTGCGCAGGTCCTTGTGTTGTTCAAAGGCGTCTCATGAACTTGTGCCTCCAGCCCCTCCACCTGTGTACCTGTAGCATGGGTGCTGGTCTGGGGGACCCTGGGAGTGCCCATCCTGGCCCGTGCAGCCACCTGTCCTCTCTGTACCTGACAGAGGGGCGGATGTGTAAAACGCACTCAGTAGATAGCCAGGCACACGGATGGGGCACAATGGATGCTGAAGAGAGTCTTAAAGACTATGATTGGCAATGCACACAGCCCTGGGCTGAGACAAACTGAGCTCAACCCCACCACCAAGCCCTGGAATGCAGGG